TTGTTCCATCTGAACGAGTATTTAGCAAAGGGAGCCAAATAGTAAGTGACCTCAGAGCGTCATTAAGTGGGGATCATATTGAACAACTTGTTTTTTGATTATGAATAAAAGATTTGTTAACATTCAAAAAAAAAATACCTAATACCTAATACCTAATACTGTTATTTCTGTTTTGAACAAACCTTTTTAAAGATAATAATTTATACTTTACTTTAATCCACCACCTAAAAAAATGATTATATGTTGGATATAGTCGGGGTACTTTATAGGGGGTCATTCTTCTAAATATATTTTGTTATTTACGCTTGAAGAAGAAAATTATTCCAATAAAAGTTGCTTGTAATGTCATTCTCTATAATTTTTGTTCTATAACTCCCAGGCCGGATATTTTGGTAAGAAATAGAGATATTTAAATTATGTAAAAGCCAGCTCATAGAGCGCCAGAAGTACTTCAGTTTTAGATATAAATTAATTAAATTAAATTAATTAAATAGATGGCGCTGCGCTCAATATTTTTTGTTCGATGGGAGGATCTTTCTTATATAGCGCATCTTATAAAAAATGAATTTTTAAGCATATTTTGTTCTATAAACTAATTCAATAAATCTAGCCATTTTTGACATACAGAGTGAGTCACTCAAAACAGTTTCATCCTGTTTTTCGGCATTATTTATTGAATTTTTAGAAAATGCTAAAGCAGGTCGTTTTTTACATTTTTACAATACAGACATCTGTCATGTGTCAACCCCCTCCCTTCCACTTCTCCAACCCCTTAATTTTAAATAAGGAATGTACCATGTACAGCACATCGTTGAAAAGGTAATTTTATGGGGAAGTCAAAAATATGACTTTTTAGTGCGATACTTTTAATTTTAGCGCCCTCTATCGGGATAAAAAAACCTGTAACGGAATATAAAGTGTTACACTTCATTTGAAAGATAATTTAATTACTAATTCAATGCACCACATAACATTAATATAAATATGTTCATATATCACTTGAAACAAAATAAAGTTAGCAAAAATCTTTAAAATAATGCATGACTAATTTTCAAACTATTGCAAGGGCAATATGGAGGATATTTAATTAATGTTATGTGGTGCATTGAATAAGTAATTAAATTTGCTTTCAAATAAGGTGTCACACTTTATATTACATACAGTTTTTTTTATCCCGATAGAGGGCGGTACAATTAAACGTATCGAAATAAACAGTCATATTTTTAAATTCCCCATAAAAATACCTTTTTAATGATGTACTACACATTGTAGTGTCACACTCTATAATACGTAGTAGTTTTTTATCCCGCTAGAGGGCGATAAAATTTAAGTAACGCAATATACAGAAATATTTCTAAATTCCCCATTAAATTACCTTTTCAATGATACATGGTACATTAACTATTTAAAATAAAGGTGTTGGAGAAGTGCAAGGGAGGGGGTTGATATATGACAGATGTCTGTATTGTAAAAATGTTTTTAATTTGGAATAAAAATCGACCTGTTTTAGCATTTTTTTAAAATCCAATGATTAATGCTGAAAAACAGGATGAAACTGTTTTGAGTGACCCACTCTGTATATCAAAAATGGCTAGATTTATCGAATAATTCACAGAACAAAATCGGCTTAAAATTGCATTTTTTACAAGATGCGCTACACAAGAAAGATCCTCCCATCGAAAACAAATTATTGAGGGCAGCGCCATCTATATATTGACCTATTTAAAATCAATTTATATGTAAAACTGAAGATCTCTTAGTGCTCTGTGAACTGGCTTTTACAGAATTAAAATATCTCTATTACCAAAATATTCGGCCAGGGAGTTTTTATTGGTACACCCTGTATATAATTTTCCTAAAATGGTCGGTATTCGAGAAATTTGTTAAAAAGATCAAAATTCAAATTTTTAAGAACATTATTCAAAGTTGTTTGTGACGTCATTCTCTATAATTTTTGTCCTATATGATTTTCCTAAAATGGACCGTATTCGAAAAATTTGAGGAAAAGTGCAAAAAGATAAGAAAGCATATTAACTTTAAGTAAGATAAGAATGTTATTGTGGGATACATACTTTTTGTTTTGGGTTGCAGGTCTAAAACTCCAAATTAACCAGAAATTATTTTAAAATAAGTCCGTTCATGGCAAAGTGGCATTTTTTTTAATTTTAAATGAAATATTGAAAAACAAAAGATTTTGTTCTAGTCCATTAAAAAATGTGTAATGGATTATGGGTGAGTATGGGTGGGCAAAATTATTGATTAATCCTTTATAAATCGAATATTTTGGATTAATCGATTATTTTCGATTAAGAGATTATTTTGGATTAATTATTTTCGATCAACAGATTATTTTGATCAATCTATTATTTTGATTAATCGATTTTTTTTCTTCGATGCATGGATAATTTTCAATTAATTGATTATTTTCGTTTAATCGATTATTTTCGATAAACAGATTATTTTGATTAATCGATTATTTACAATTAATCGATTATTTACAATTAATTGATTATTTTAGATTAATCATTACTATCGATTAATTGATTATTTTCGATTAATCGATTATTTTTAATTTTATTATTTTCGATTAATCGATTACTTTCGATTATTTTGTAAGCAGGATTAATTAACCCTTAAACTACCAAGCATTTAGATATAGATTCAAAGTAGTCCCAAGGGTGGATAAAAACCGTTCACTCTAAAACTGATATTTTTTATTTATACAGGCTGTCCCGAAATTAGACGGTCATATTTTAACAGCGTAATCTACATCCTAAAATAGAAGTAAAAGTTCAAGTAAACAGAGGTCCGAAAACGTTTCGTTTTCGAGATACAAGTGAAGTCCTAATAGCACATTTTGGTAAATATTTTCTAATATTTCTTTCCAAAGTTAAAAAAAGTTAAATTTCTGATTCCACATGCCTACTAATTATTGTTTACACTTTCGAATAAGATAACATCACTTATGATGAAATTTTTACATGTTTTTTTCTTGAAAATGTTGCGTCCTAGCGATATGCAACAAAAGTTGCTTTATTATAAAGAAAATATTGGTTTTCCAAATTTTATAGTCAAAAATGTTAAAAACTGTCAACAAAAAAATTTAGAGCAATTTTACCCTAAGCCCCCCCTAATTTACCCACCTATGAAGATGTCCATTAAATAGAGCGTAAAAAGGTAAGCATTTGTACCAAATTTCACTTAGTTTTCTTTAAACGTTTAGAAAATATTTACAAAAGTGTGTCATCAGGACTTCACTTTTAACACCCTGTATCTCGGAAAAGAAACGTTTTCGGACCTATGTTTATATGAACTTTTACTCCTATTTCAGGATATAGATTACGCTGTTAAAATATGATCGTCTAATTTCGGGACACACTGTATACTACATTCGAAAGAGTTAATCTATTTTTGAATAGACCAAATAAATTTGAACATACAAACTGTAACTAGGAAATAAAAAAAAAAAATAAAAAAAAACCTTTAGAATTATATTTAAATATTTTAATTCAGATTAGGACTACTTAACACATACAACATTCTATTGATGTATTTGACAATTTTTTTATACTCTCATTTCTTGAGGTGGCGCTTTTAATGCAGACGAAGCACCTGTCCACTGCAATTTAATTTAAAAAATAATATTTAATTTATAATACATCGGCAAAATAAGGGTTGACATCTTATAGTAGAATATATTTAAGACAATAAATATTTTTTTCAGATTTTTATATTGCTTTTTTTATGCAAAATGTGGATAGATAAACACAAGGTGGTCAATTTTTACCCACTCTTGGGAGTTGGAGGGTTACAGCTTAGGTTTAAAATTTGAGGTTTTTCCCTTTATTCGTTTTTGAGTTATCGTAGATACAGACATAAACGCGAAAATGGTCAAAACGGATTCAGGGGACACCAAAACGAAAAGATTCGATGAAAACTCGTGGTCTAAAAAAATCATCATTACTATATTATCCTTAATGGACAATTTACAGTGAATTATAATTACAAATCTCAATATCAAGTAGGTTTGTCAGAAATTAGTTATCCTGTCATTTTGGTAAATTAATGGTGTTAACTAAATAAACTTATTATAATAGCTATTTGCTTGGAAATAAACTTTTATTTTTAGCAACAATGAGTATTCAGTGCCAAAGTTGCCTAACCAACACAATTTCAAAACAACCGGTCTTCGTATAGTATTATTTTAAAATCATTTTTGTGCGTCCCAAAGTTGCCTATTCCTTAAGTTTATTCGTTTTCGGTGCCGCCATATACCTAAAGATTAGGCAGGTACCCGTAATAGACACAGGTAAAATACTTTGATCTTCATTTTCTCACTTTTAATAAATTGATGTTTGGGCGACTCTAACACTATAAGCCACTTAATTGTGGTTTAGAAAAAGTATAGTGTGCAACACGTGTAGAAATGCATTTTCCCACTGATTTGAATTGCGACACTCGATTGCGCTCGTACCGTAACTATTTCAAACTCGTGATTAATTAGCATCTTTCTGCACAATTTAAAGTTATTTCTGGAGAAAAAGGACACTATCTGTAGAACGCTCCAATTCTAAAAGTCACCGGCTCTCTGAAATACTGGAATATCAGAATATTACTTTTACAAAGTGAATAAATTACAGATATGGACATTTCAACGCGGACCCCCAGTTTTACAATGAATTGGTCAAGGTATAATAGGAATATGCGTGTAACACACAAAAACTGCTGATAATCGAGGAACGCCCATTGCAGAATACGTACGTCTCCCACCACACTCCCACTTACGCTCGTATCTTGTCCCAAATGTACGCACGATTTTCATTTCACTCAGAGCCATTGTTAGTTTTAAAAAATACTTTACCAATGATTAAGTTTTTTTCACATTTCATTTTATTGTAATAAGAACGCCAAGTCATTCCAAAATGTAATTGGCACATTCTTTTATAAATAATAAAGATTAAGTTTGTAGTTTTTCAACAAAAGAATGTATAAAATCTTACCTTTAGTTTGAGCAACGCCGTCAAAACCTGCTGCAAAATCGGCCTTATATATTTCAGCGGTAGCGGGCTGAATTTGTTCTGTTTCAGAAAGTCATATAAATTCTGTTCGAGCATTTCGAACACGAGACACGTATGGTTCTTGTGTTGGAAACACTCGTAAGCGCGAACAAAGTTGAATTCGTCCGCATTTTCTTGACTCAGTCTGGATAGTATGCTCACTTCGATTTGACCCTATAATACAAAAAAAAATAATAAATAATTTCATCGCTTTTGGGCAAATTATGTACGCGTATTTTTCGTCCACCGTATCCCACTGATTCGAGTTTTGGTTCATTTTTTAGAAACCCCTGATTGGATTTAGGCGCTACCACGCGGGTATAAAAAATTCATCATTATGTTCCCCAATAAGTAAATGGGCAGAGACTTATTATGTGTCAGTTTGAAACTAAAACTATTACTTCTATTTACTCTGATTCTTTGTGTTCAAAATAAATCCTTGGTATTCCAAAGTAGATTCAACTAATCTTACACGAGTTTATTTTAGAATGATGAAGGTTTTATTCAATTGGAAGTTTTTTAATGAGAGTGGTTTGTTAAAAATAGGTATAAATAATTTTTTTATTGTCAAAACAAAAAACAAATTATGAAATACCAAAGGGTTTTAATCAGTTATTTTGGGGAATATTGGGAATATTTGAGAATGGTAAGTAGTTTTTTTAAATTTATTGTTAATAGATTTTCGTCAAACCAATGGACCATATTTTGTAGGTCTTTTTTAGTTTCTTTTCGACTTCAATCTAACTAATATTCCAACAAATAGTGCTGTATCGTCCGCGAAGTTTATTTAAGTATAATATAAATAAAATTCCATAAATTATTTATTTTGGCGAACTTTGCCATCCGTAAATTTCAATTATTTAGGTTCGATTTGTGTATATTTTTCCTTATTCCTGTTGGGTATACGCAGTATACGCAGAAGAAAGACTAGGAACTTCCGTAACACAGTTTATTTGACAAGCTATATAAAAATTAAATTGACAACTTCAATACTCTACTATAGGTACTCTATGCGTACTCTATACTTACATTTAAGTTGAATGGCTATTGCATCATTTATAGATTTATTTTCTCTAAATCCAAATTGTACACTTTTAAGTAAATCGTTTTGATTTATTAAATTAATTAAGTTGAATACAGCACCCCTTATAATTTTCGGACAAGGATATTTCAAAAAGTTATTACGTTAAAAAATTAAAATTTTGGCAAAATAAATTAGGTAATATTATCTAGATATGCATATATGTAACGCGCCTGTAACTACCGTATCGTACACTTTCGGTCATCATTCGTTTTTTGCAACGATTTACATGAAGACTGCACTTAACGAGGCGTTTTAGCCACTAATTTTGGCGAATTTTAAAAAATCATTAACAAGACATTAAGAGCTTAACTTTGGGGATTATATTAAGAAGCACTTTGATTTAAAACTTTAAAATACAAAACTTATATTGAATACTGTGTATTTCTGAATAAACGTTTTGTAAGGAAAAAATTTGGCAACTAACTTTAAGATAAGGTCTTTTGTTCTTAACAAATATGATAATAAAGAAAAAACGACTGTTGAGATTTATTATTTTGTGAATTTTGTGTTCAGAAGTAAAATCACGATCCTCCGGCAATTTTATTTCGGATAAAAAAAAACTACAAAATGCCTTATATTGGACTAACAGATATGCAGAAGGGTGAGAATGATTGCTCTCATTGAACAAGGAATGCCTCAATGAGATGTAGCAGAGGTAGTAAGCGATACCCAGGGTGTTGTATCGAAAACATATGAAAGGTACTTGGAACTAGAAACTCTCAAGAACAGGCCCATATAAAGTAGTCAAAGAGTCACAACTAAACAACAGGACTGTTTTGTGTGCCAATTTACTTGACGAAATCCCAGTCTTTCTCATCTAGAGCTACAACGACAACTACTGGAAGCTACAGGTGTGAACGTTTCAATTGAAACTTTAAGAAAGACTTCGCGTACGAGGTTTGTACAGTAGGGAAGAGTTACAGGTCCCACCGTTATCTAGGCAAAATAAATTTGGCCGGCTAAATTGGTGCCTTCAACACCAAAAAATGTTCTTTTTTTGGATGAGACCAGAACTGGCCTAAGATTAGATGATCATCGAATTCGGGTTCTCAGAGCTCCAGGAAGATAAGCGAGACTCCACGCTGCTAGATATGTCCCAAGATATCAAAGAGAAACTGTAATGTTTTGGGCAGGTATTATGCTGAAAGCAACAACTCCATTGTTACCAGTTCAAAAAATGTTAACCGGTCCGAGATATGTTGATTTAGTGCTAGAACCAATCGTAAGGCTTTGGAGAGCTGCAATTGGGGATAATTTTGTCTTTATGCACGATAATGTACCTCCCCATACCAGCAGAGTGGCTACAGAATATCTTGAAACAGAAGGTGCCACAGTTTTAGACTGACCTGCATGTTCTCCAGACCTAAATCCTATCGAACACTTGTGGGACCAGCTCACAAGAAGGATTAGAGCTCGTCGAAACAATGCAGGAAATGTCACACAGCTTATTGATGCAGCATTAGCAGAATGGGGAAACATACCCCAAGACAATGTTGACAATTTAATAAGAAGCATGTAAAGGCGAATAGAAGCTTGCATAAGGGTTAGAAGTGATAATACGGATTGTTAAAATTACCAATTTTATTTCTGTTTTTGCTTTTCGGCTATTAAAAATTTAAATCTCATTTCGTTTTAGAAACCAAAAAAATACCATTGTGTGTATTTTGTCAGCTAATTAATTATTTTTATTGCTATGTGGGTTATTTGTAAGGACCGAGTTTTATTCATAAACAAAAAAGGTTCATACATCTCAAAAATTATAAAAAATAATAGATGATATAAGTTTGGTTGTTTGTATATGCATATTCTAGATATTATTGCTTAATTTATTTTGCCAAAATTTTTAATTTTTGAGATATCCAAATGGATCTTCAGTTTTCTACCTTGTTTTTGACCCATTGGTTTTATTATTGCTTGCTTAAATGTAGGGAGAGAAATAACTTGTTGACACATTTGGTTGATCAAATATTTGATTATAGGGGATATTTTTTTTTTTTAAGAACTTTGTTACGTTGTCGGGGCCGAGAAGCTGTTTTTATCTTTGAGAGATACTATAATATCCATAATTTCTTTTTCAGTAACAGGTTTTAATTTGACATGTTACTGTTGTATTCTGCTACTTTTTAATTTTGTCCTATCATTTTTTTATCTGCTTTTGAATAATAATTATTAAATATATCGCTAATTTTCTTTATATTAGTTTTAAGTTTGTCCGATTGATATACTACTTCAGAAATTAATGTAGAATTGTGTATTCATTTATGATTGATTATTGAATGTTTTAAATTGTCGTAAAATGGGATGAAAGCGGTTTAATAGTTCCCTTTTATTAATATTTAAAATAATAATATTAACACAATACCAATTTACCAAAATATTTTTATACAGCGTATTTAAATGTTTAAAAATTGCGGGTACGGACCTGTAAAATTTACATCTATAAAAATAGAAAAATATAGAGTTATTTATTTTTTTAATAAGTTTAGAACTAATTAATATATAATTTTTATATTTTAATATTAAACTTACAAGTTTAAAATTTGAAAAATAAAATTATCTGGCCAATAATAAAAATAATACTTTTTAATTCAGTTTCTTGTTTTCTATTTAAATACGAAAATTAACGACGCAAGTAGATAAAGATGTGTCATGTCACATTTTTTTGAAAAAATGCGTTTTATCGCCTAATAGGTACTTTTTCGTTTTTTAGTTTTGATTTCCACTTTTGATAAATAACTGAGATTCTTAAAAGATGAAGGTGTCATGATTCATATACCATAATGCAATTGTAAAACTTTAAATCCTTCTTTCTCGAAATATTTATTTTGTGACATGACACCTTCATTCTCTTATATCTTCACTTCTGATATACAGAGGTGTTATTTTAAGGATAAAACAATAGTTGTTTTTTGTTAATCCGGACCTGGATTTTTCTTGTGGTTAGTACGTTTTTTATTTGGGCAGTGGATGCAAAATATGAGTAGCAAATGACAAAAAAATATAATGGGTGGTTCATTACTCATGGCTCCAGAAAAGAATGAGCTAAATACCTGGAGCTCGGTTATATATACTCCAAGGCCCATTAAATATCGTCCCCTTAATACTTCAATTGAATCGGTTAGTGAAAGAACAATACATATCCAAAATGATCATTTTGAGAAAAACAAAAAAAACTGTTTTAAAGGAGAACTATGGGTTATTCGGCCAAATTATGTATTGAGAAGTTATAGAATGTTTGTTAACCGATAATAATACATACATAAATTTAAAAATAAAATTATGCAAAAAATTATATGCGAAAAAAATTACTTGCAGTTATTCCAAGAAATAATATATGGTCACTTAAGTAGAATAAAAGTTTCTTTATATTGGCTATCTTCTTTACGTTAGTAGGGACAATTTCTGAGTATGCCTTTTCCAATGGCGAGCATACACGTAACGGTCAACCTGTGACAAAATTAACTTTTTGTTCATCAGCTGATTTAGAGGTTTTTAAGCTTATAGCTTTTATCGCGGGCTTTGAGCACGGCGACCGAATCAAGAAATTCCGTAACGAAAATAAACCTAACACTCCCCACGGGCGTTGAAAGCCGTGCATCGTCTAACGTCGTTTCAGTTCGGCAGACTTCGGCACGGTGTTTGTGTGCGTGCGTCTAGACGTATGCGTGTAGACTAGCTGCTAACTGCTCATAACTGATTCTATCTCTTTTAGACACAATTTCGGAAAAATTGAATTTGAAAATGAATAATGATCCACAAGAATCCACAACAAAATATGGGACCACCATTGACGCGATATTTTCCAGATATTTAGAGGATATCAAGTCTCAAACTTATGTTTCTTATTTATATAAACCTATAGTTTCAATGATAAAAATTCCTGAATAACCTACATGTATTGGAAATAATTAAAAATATTTTAAACAATATTTGTTCAATAAGAGAAAAAAAATTGTTTTCTTATCGGTCACTACGCTCAAAAGTGTAACTTGAATTAATATCAAAGAAAAAAAATACTGCATAAATAAAATAAATAAATAATTATAATTTCATAAGTTGATAAAAAATGCTATGCAATAGCTTTACCGCGGCAGTCCCCGAGTGCCACACGTATTTTTTTAAGGAATTTTGACCACCAGTTTATGAAATGTGTCAAATTTGTCTACGAAACGTCATGGCTACTGAGTGAAAAAAGAGTACATGCGCCGTACTTGTACTGTTTTTTTACTCAGCCGAAAATTGAACAAGCCCCCATCGCTCGTATGATGTTGGTCGGTATATTATTCTTTCGCTATGTGATAGGCCTATGAATTTTAAACAATTTGCCTATCTCAGTTAAAATTACCGTTTTTGGCACTTGTATTGTTCTTTCAGTTTCAGTTTCAAACATTTATTTACACAGTTAAAATATTTACAGTTTCAAATTTTTAACAATACATATATGTAAAGGATTTCTTCGCGCTTAGTAAGATGCCGAAGTGTTCCTTTTGAACCCCTATGAGGCCATTCCCGATGTCACGGCTTTATGTATCGTTGCAATTTGTGATAATTCTCGTTTAAAATGACATCTCCTTGCTGTAGTCAGCATAATAAGTCAACTAAGAGGGGCTAACTAGACAATATTTGATTAAGAGTTGAAGTTTTTGTCTGATTTTAATTCTGTCATGCGTTCCCTGAAAAACTAGTCTGAAAAAACAGGGTTGTCTTTGTGAGTATTGTTCTTTCACTCACCGATTCAATTATTGAGTAACTCGATTTAGCGTTTTAAGTTATCTACTGTACTGCAAGCTTCGTGAGTTGCTCTTTGTAATGGTACGAGTGGATAAGTCTTAGAACACCTACCACTTACTCACGATGGTTGCAGTAAAGTAGATAACTTAAAGCACTAAAAAATCGAGTTACCTAATTATAGTATTAAGAGGACGATATGATATATATAGAACCACCTCGTTGACCTCTATTTGTATTTTTCTGTTTCCTAATGAATCACCCCGCATACAAATATATTTTTAATCAATTTTGTTCTACGTACTAATTAGATAAATCTAGCCTTTTTGTATATACTTAAGTCCAAAAATTGGCTTTTCGAAGTAATTAAAATCGTACTAAGCCATATTTTTGTACTTTATTTGAAAAAGTACTGCTTTTACAATAGGCAGGTATCTCTACTTCTACTATTAGGATTTTTTTTTTTTAATTGAAAGATCTGTTTCTTTCCAAAATATCCGGACTGGTCCTATTGGTACTCTGTGTATATGTATTATAGTTGTACTCACCTGTCTGGCATAAGAAGGATGATTCTTGAGAATCTTGATGGCGACGATCTCATTAGTGCCTTTCTTCCAGCACTTGACCACCTGGCCGAAGGTGCCTCTGCCCAAAAATTCGAGCACCTCGTACTGGTTGGTCATGGAATACAACACTTCATGCTGCACCAGCTGGTAATCGCCGTCGGCCCCGCTCGTCGCAGCCGACCCTGCTGACCGGAAATAATAAGAATTAACATCGATAACTTCCTCATAGCTCGAAATCAAACTCAGATTCATCAGAAAAGAAACCAACGCTTCATCTTTGATCCGTTGCAGCGCGTTATATTTTTGACAAATTCCTTTTTGACGTTTTTGGAGGATGCGCAAATTTTAAGAAATTACAAATTTAATGACAAGAGAAGGGTTAATACCCCAAGGGGTTGCGATGTATTGACAATAATAACCATTAAGGAATCAAGTAAAGAACACGAAAAATATTTAATAACTACGATTATTGAATTGTTTTGTCTTCAGAAAGTCAACCACAATATAAGCGTATCTACTCGTAAGTGTAAGTAGATAGAAGAGAATAAGTATTCATTATCTTCTTTTCGCAGAATTGTAAAGCCAACTTTAGGATTTTTTAGCTGCATTATGTGTCAACGGATAGACTTCAAATTAGCCTTCACAAATACTCCTGCTTATACGGGGTGACAATTTAAAAACTTACAATGGCTATATCATCTTCGAGCAAATATATGCTCGAAGTATATCATGGAGGTAAGGCTATATACATATTTTTACGTTCTATATTATAAGAAAAGCGATATCAACATTAAATATTTAGGAAATATCAAGCTCTATAAGGGAATGAAGGCTATTATTGATTCTGAAAAAAAAAAATCTGAACAAAAATGGCATTTGATATCAATTTAAGTTTAAGTAAACATACAGGGTATAGTTTGAAAATAAAATATAACACAAAAAACATGGCTAAAAATTTACTTTTTAGCAGGTGGAACTTTTTGCAGTTTTCAGTATATTTTGGAAAACAGCGTAACTATTTGATATTACGCGTATCACGAACAATAAATTTCCGATCAGATAAAATGGTCTTTAAAATGACCTCATTTAATGAAAATTCTCCGACCAATCAAAATTGCCTGTCAATTTTTTTCAGGAGGGAGACATTTACATCAAACCAGAATTTTAAAATTTTGCAACCTCCTTGGTGAATTAACCCAAATTTATCTGTGCATAGAGACAAATTTAAATTTCATTGAATTCTTTGACATTTTTCCAGCTAATGAAAATATAAATAAGCACCAGAAAGAACAGTGTACGACGATCTTTTCTAATGAAAATGAATGTGTTTATACCTATGTACCTGTATGTAGTTTGTTGTTGGTATCACATTAAAAAAAATATAATATTGTAGTCAAACTAGGACTAGTATCAAAAATTTAAATAACATTTTCAAGGTAAAACAAAAATCAAAAAGAAGAATAATGTGTTTTTTCCATGTTATTCCAGTGCTGATTTCGAATTCAGTTGGATGCCGTATATTTATCAACCTTAATCATGTAGAGTGCAGATATATTTCATCGTCAAACAAAACCACAGCGAAAAAAAAAATTAAATAAGAGTTCTCTAACCAGATTTACCACCCCCTCCCTTCCTCCAAGTCAATTAAAAAAAATACATAAAATACTGATAACAGTATTTTACATAACATAAGTAATGGGTCATGGTCACGGTGGATAACAGGTTTTTGGTATATTCTGTAAACATTTAGTTAGAAGCAATCTTAGGTTAAAAAAAATAATCGGATGTCATTATCAATTTTGTATTCTGTAAGTCATATTTGGTTAAAATTATAACTTATTTGTTACTTACAAATCCAGGTTAAATTCCAAACTTTAACGATAAGGTATATTGTTGACGTTAAAACTGTCAAAACATTTAATAAAAATGGCTGGATTACAGTGCATTGCTTTTATGTATCACGTGAATAAAAGGAAAAGGTGCAGAAAGTAAGTTATTTTACTGAACTACATACTTTTTTATCAAGAAAATTTGTTTTTAAGATCGGAATATCGTCAACTTCAGCGTAATTTACATGTTAAAAATTTTATACAATTACATCTACCTACTTGTAAAGAGTAAAACTCATTAATATTATTTACAGGACTAAAAATTAAGAAAGTGTGTTACCTATGTTAAAACTTTGAGGAATCCAAAAGTCTCAGAAGTATTACGGTGATGATATATAACAAATATGCAAATTTGCAAATTATTTAAAAATACATTTAGTTAATTGAAGAATTATATATTGAAAATATTTTTGTTTCTTTCGTCTGCATCAGCTGCTATGTTTTTGATCCTAAGTCAACTCAAAATAACACTGGCACACAAAAAAAAGTTGTTTGTACATCAGACACCACCTACCTACCGGCATGTAGTATTTTGACCCGCTGAATCCGAATTTCAAGTCGGTTTGGGCCGTCCACCCTTCAATATCGAGTAAATAGTAAAAATAAGATAATTAGTAATTAAAAAAAATTATGAATCGAAACCAAGCATAATTCTTATGTATTTCGATCCGCTGAATACAAATCTGAAGTTTATTTAGACTATAAACCGTTCTAAATCATAGAAATTGTATCATGCGATCAAGCGATAAAAAAAATATCAACTGCGGAGGTCATTTGAGAACAAAAAAAGTTTGATATCAACAAAAAACAGTTCAAAATCTGAGAAAATCTTTCGCCTCATTCAGTTCTACTACTTCTACTTCTTCATTAATGTGGTTATGGGCTTAATCCAAGGACTATCCACCCAGGAAAAGTTATTTTTTTCAAATTTTGTTGATGTGGAAAAGCTGCACCCTCCTGCGTCGGACTTCTGTCCTCACTCTTCCACTACACTTGATAATTATTTTAAATATTCTTCAGAATTCTTGGCACTGAATATTTTATTTAGTATACTTTTTAAAGTCGGATGGTCACTTTTAAACTTGATATTTTGTGATTATTGTAGGACTTGAGGACTCCCGATTCGGAGACCGCCATTTCAATGTTGCCACGACGATGTCCGAATCGGAAGTCGTTATGCATATACAAGTATCAATACAAAAAGAAAGTAATATTGGTTGCCTAGATGTCAGTATTTTTTTACCAAAAAAAGAATTTTATAAATAATCTAGTTAACACTTTACGAAATGCGTTTTTATGTAAATCGTTCATGTTGCGGGACCTCGCTCTGCTCGTACCGCAAATATGCAGTCATAAAATAAGTCATTTCGTAACTGGTTGCATAAATAGCTATTATCATTTATTTTTAATTTTAAATTGTAATTTATACTTTTTTCAACAAATCTAAAACTTGAATCTGTATGCCTTAATTTTATTATAAGAAAGAACAAACCATCAAGCTCAAAGTGACAAAAAAAATAGAAAACAACTAAAATAGGTTTTGGTTAAATATCTTTTTTCCTTCTTTTTTAATATTATTTTAAAAACCAATGAAATACATAACTATAAAATAATGTCCGACTCTAGATCTGCCCTTGAAGCTATTAAAAATCAGGTTTCCTCTAACACCTGTTATTTAAACGAAGTTTGTTCTATTAAAAATACGATATACGAGTTGCATAAACAGAATAAAATGTTTGACTCAAAGCACAAGTTAGAATAGTTGGTAACGAGAGAGCAGAACAGATGACAAAAGAAGCCACACATTTTTCAAATATAATTCACGAATTTCCTACCCAAGATTTGGTAATCTCATACAAAAACGGTATTAAAGATTCATGCAGAAATATATGTACTGATTTGGCAAAAAATTCCAATAAGCACAACGTTTTTATTCACCCCCAAGCTTCCAAATATAATTTACATTTAAACACACACAATGTCTCTAGATCATATTATGCTGTTGCCATTACTAGATTAAAACTGGCTCACGGAAGATTCACCTCTCACCTTCATAACGTATTGAGTTCGCACATAAGAATCCCTGTCCAGGTCTAACTAGTGAAACTAGAAAATATTGTTATGTGAGCCATTTAATTATTCAGTCATGCTCTAACCCTACAAGTTCATCTCTGTCTTATTTGGCCTTTAAGGCTCAACTTGTCCGATTATTATACATAATTAAATCCCTTAAGACCAAACCTATGAGACGACTATGGCGGAGGTGATTTCGATGATGTTCGAGAAAGGACGAGATAATATTTCTGGACTGTTCGAAATATTTCTAGTTTGGTGGAGAAGCTTCTCGACTCCACCAAATTTTAGAAATTTGTATATAAATATTGGTGGATGAGCCATCAGTCAGTTTATATATGGGCAGTGAAGATAAATAGTAATTAGTAGATAGACAGTGGTGAATATAAATAGTGATCAGTTTAAAGACATTCGAAGTATATATAAATTAAAATAGTTAGTAATTGTGTTATAAAATAAATGTTTAAATAAATTATTAATAAATAAACTGTTGTTTTAAAGTAAACAAACATCACAATATAAAAGAGGTTTGAATTAAAGAGTATAGCTGAAAATGTTTCCAAATTTTCCGATGTTTATTATTTGTAATCATACTAAATATTTAAAAATTCCAGTATTGTCTTTTGCGAAATATATATACAGTGAGCATCATAAGTCTTACCCCCCCCCTAACTAACTCGTTACTGGAGTCTTGTTAGGTAAATCACCGAGACAGGTCGATTTTTGATTTCTACAATGTACATTTTCGTATGATTAGTTTACCCTTAATTTCATCCCTTACTGGAGGGGAGCAACCCTTTCGAAAAATTTAAATGGCATGGGGTGGCGAGTGATAGCTCATTTGAAAGAGGGTTTTATTCTCTATTCAACCATGCAAAAAAATTTTAAATTAGTTTCATTACGTGTTGATTTATTAATGTTTAAAAATAACAAATCCTCACAAAATAGGAAAGCAACTAAACTAACAGTGACCTTCTAATGACAAAAAGTCTTACTTCACGTCTTAACCAAAACCGAAATCATGCAGGGCCGAATTTTAATTCTAAGGATGAGTGCGCTACGTTAATTTCCGTTATTCTGAAACAACAATTAGTCGAGAATTACTCAAAATTTTTTACATGGTTGAATAGAGAATAAAACCCTCTTTCAAATGAGCTATCACTCACCACCCCATGCCATTTAAATTTTTCAAAAGGGTTGCTCCCCTCCAGTAAGGGATG